TGCAAGATAAATATTGGCTTAAAGATAAATTTTCTTATTTAAGAACCAGTAAGGTGCAGGGCCGGCCCCGTGGCTTAGCGGTTGAGTGCACGCGCTCCACTGCTGGTGGCCCAGGTTCGGATCATGGGCGCGCGCCGGCGCACCGCTTCTCTGGCCATGCTGGGGCCGCGTCCCACATGCAGCAACTGGAAGGATGTGCAACTGTGACATACAACTATCTACTGGGGCTTTGGGGGAAAAATAAATAAAATTAAAAAAAAAAAAAAACCAGTAAGGTGCTGCATTAGGTACTGTGTCTTTTTACTCATTCAAGTATTCATTCAACAAATATTTACTGAGTTCCACCGATCTGCTGGGCACACGTGGTAGTAAACACCCCAGTCCCTGCCTTCATGGAGTTACTGTCCAATGGGTGAGCCAGGTGATAAATCCAAGGTCTCCATAAAATAAACAAGTACAGCTGTTATGGGGGTGCTCAACTTAAACTGGGGACAAAGGAAGACCTCTCTGAAGAAGTGACATGCAAACCCAAGGATAAAGGTGCTCACTGCAGAGCACGACCTGTGACTGGTCTGTGGAAGGAGAGGGCGCTCTCCTGCATCGGAATGGCAAGCGTGGTCAGAGCACAGATGGCTGGAGACTCGGGGAGGGTGGGTCATGTGGGGCTTCTAGCCCGTGGCACACATCAACATTGTGTGGTTGCAGAAGAGCAGGACGGGATGCAGGGAGAGGAGGGGTAGGAAGAGGTGCAGAAGCGGACAATGATGGGGAGAGTGGACGTGCGGTGCTCCCGTGGGACACATCAAGGGTTCAGTCTTCCGCTGCCTGGAAGATATCCAAGGAACAGTGGTTGAATGGACAGGTGGGCATATGCATCCAGAGGTCAAAAGATAAACTGGCGCTGAGAACATAATTTGGGAGATGTTGGCACAGGGTGGTATTTAAAGCCACGGAATGTATCAACTCACTGGGGGGCAGTAAGTGGGACCGAGGAATGTCCACATTGGATACTGCTGAGTGGTCAGAGGGCCATGTGACGTGAAGACCACAGAGAATTGGAAGGGCAGTCTCAGTGGAGAAGTGAAGGGGCTGTGTGAAAAATCCACTGCAAGCAGCACAGCAGGAAGTAGAGAGAAAGTGCAATAACTAGGAGCTTTCAAAAGATAAGTTTCAAAATGTGTAACACAATGTAAACGCTCTACTTTTCCCGTGTTATCTCTATGATTGGCCACTGTACACTGTTGGTAATCGGTGCACATCTTTCCAGACATTTTCTGTGCAAATACAAACATCCAATGTGTCTATAAACCATTTAAAGCACATTCTGCACTTCTAAGCGTAGCCTACATTGTGGATGTTTTAACTTCAGCACCCCACATTGTGGAACCATCAATTAGCACCCCCCACCACCACCTCATGAACATTTGGGTTGTTTTCATCTTTCCTCTGTTACAGCAGGGCATAGGCACAGTCTGGTGTGTTACTCTATGTATCTGTGCAGGTACACCTGTAGGATGTAGTGTCAGGAGTTCAAATGCTGGGTGTAAGGGTATTTCCATTTTATTTTTTGATAGATATGGCAATTTCGCCCGAGAAATTTTCTTTATAACAGGAACTACCAAGTCTTGTTTGAATGCTGACAGAAATGATCCAAGAGGGGAAGAGGCTGAAGGTCCAGGAGAGAGGAGCCATTGCTACAGACCACCACCCCTGGCTCCTTCCTGACACTGTGTTCCCTCTCAGTCATCGGGTCTCCTGGGACAGGCTCATCTCAGTCCGCTCAGGCTGCCACAGCAAAACTCCACAGACTGGGCAGCTTAGACATTTGTTTCTCACAGTTCTGGAGGCTGGAGTCCAAGGTCAAGGTGCCGGCCTATTCAGTTCCTCGTGAGGCCCTTCCCGGCCTGCAGATGCCACCTTCTGCCTGTGTCCTCCAGTGGTGGAGAGAGCAAGTGAGCTCTCTGGTGTCTTCTCTTATAAGGACACTAATCCTCTCGGATCAGGGCTCCATCCTTATGACCTCATTTAACTTTACTTCTTCACTCCAAATACAGCCACACTGGGGGATTAGGGCATCAACATGCGAATTCTGGGGGACACAGTTCAGTGCATAGCAAGGCCTGACTTCAAATATCATGGTTTCTGACAGTTTGGTGTCCAAAAGCATCTGCTACATTGGCCCTCACAACACAGAGTGGTACAATAACCCTCAGTTCAATCAATTGTTCTGTTTTTTGGTTCAGAAAAGTATGGGCCTAGTGATGTACACAACGGCTACTTCGTGAGTGTGTAAGGCACTGTAGGCAGTGCCTTACACTGCCTACACTGTAGGCACTGTAGGCACACTGTGCGCCACACGTAGGCACACTGTGCGTTACTATAGACACGCTGTGCACCACATGTAGGCATACTGCACATCACTGTAGGCACACTTCTCTCAACCTGGCACACTGATTTTTCTACCATGATAATAATTTAAAATTATCCTACTAAAAATGCTATTATCATTGAAAAATGCCATTCCTTCCATGGGGTAGACTGCTTGCATTTAAATTGATCAAGACATCCTTTATCTCTTCTGTGATACAAAGTTATTTATATAATTATTTTTCTTCTAGACGTGTAACAGTGAAGACTCCTGGGAGAAATTCAGAACTTTACCAGAGAAACACGCTTTTGATACAAAGATAGGGATAGCCATTTATAAGAAGCTGCTAGCTTTCCACCAAAATGCAGCCCAACAGAAGAAGCTCAGACAGAGAAGACAGACGGTATTTTTCTAAACTTAAGTGAAGTGACCAAAAAAAAAAAAAAGGATTTAAACGGAATTTTCATATAACAATTGCTACCACTAGACCTTGCCTACAGCTGAGACTGAGTTGAAGCAACTATCCAGTGGATGTAAGTGGGATAATTTGTTTTAAAAAGAATCTTGACTCTGAATATTGTTCTGAAAATAAACTTTTTTCTCTCATTTTCCTTTTTCTTTTTCTATTAATCTATTAATACAGATCAAATAGATCAAATACCTACTTAACTCACTTTAATCTGACATATCATTAATTTTAAAGATAGAATAGAAAGCAAATATGCTTCAAGTAGCAGCTCCCTCAGGTGGGGGCCCTAACAGCCGGGGTGCCAGATGTGGGGCTCCCTTCTGGCTGTCTGGTGCGGTGCAGGGTGGGGTTTACGGCGAGAGTGTGTCTCAGCCTCTCCCCGTGGGTGATTTCCTTGTCAACCTGGCATGTGGGAGGCGCTCAGCTCGTTTCTGGAGTCTTCTCTGAGGGAACTGCTCTGTGTGCAGCTGTACATATGGGGTGTCCGTGGGAGGAGGGTGTTCAGGAGCCTCCTGTGTCAGCATGCTGGTCTCTCTTGGGTGTAACTACTTTTATGTCAAGACTAAGACATTATTCCCCTTTTCGCTCTGATCCCCTCAGGGGTCTACAGTGGAATTTTCCAGAGGCTACATGATGGGTGGTGACCTTACTACTCTGACAGCTAAATAGAACACATGTTTATGTATTCTTGTGCTTTAAACATTTCTATCTTAATTTGGAATATAGTAAACATCAATAGATATATCCTAGTTGATAAACAAAAGTTCTTTGGGGTTGTCAATAATTTTTAAGAATGTAAAGAGTTCCTGAGACCAAAAAGTATGAGAACCACTGTTTTAAACCACGAATTTTGAAAATGAGCACTAAAGAACCCCAGGTCTTTACCACCAATACAATAAGCCAACAAACCGACCGAACTAAGATGGGGGCTTACAAATGAGAGTCTTTACGTCCTGACTCTTCAGTCTGAAGTCTCTAGACCAAAGCCAAAATGAGCACTAAGGACCATTCAGGAGATCCAATCTGAGCCACACTCTACGCAGAAGGCAGCAAAGTAAGGTCTGCAAGCCAAATATGGGCTGCTGCCTGTGTTTATGTATAAAGTTTGATTGGAACGCAGCCCTGCCCTTCATTCACATTGTCTAAGACTGCTTCCTCACTGCAATGGCAGAGTTCAGCAGTTGTGACAGAGACATATAGCCTGCAAGATCTATACCTACTATCCACCCTTTCAGCCAGGGTTGGCCCCGCTGGGTCACATGGACCTCACCAAATCCACGGCAAGTCCTTCTCTCCCACCACCAAATTCTTGGAGCTTAGGAGTCAAGAGCAAGGGCACAGCAATGCCATTAAACTGACTGTATGTCCACCAGTCACAGATGTCTTTTAATCATAAGTGAGTAATTCTTAGTTCTGTGATAAACATTTCACATTTAATAAGGAATAGATATAATCAGCCAAATACTCAGATAATTAAAGCTACATTTTAAAAAGCAATATTTTATTATGTAAAATTCTATGTAGGAAAGTACATAGAAGTACTTGATTTGAAGTACCATAACTGGACTTCAAATCCATAGTACCTAAAATTTTTATTTAATAAATGGTTTAAAGCACAGTGCCAAAAATACATTAACATTTAAAAATTTCACTAAAAGGAAAAAATACTGTAGAATGCATAGCTGCAGAAAGCTAGATTCGGTCATTTTAAAACAAAACTGCTTCAGAATACAAAAAGAAAAATGCTAGATGCCACACCTAAGTTATCCCTGTCCCCAGATAATGCCACTTATGTTTCTTAGCAATCCTCAGACCACAATGGTTATAAACCACGAGCACATCCATCAAAAGACTGTGAAACTATTTTCATCGAGTCAGTGGCCAAATTGTTAAAAGGGCTGTAATGTAATAATTAAAGCTGCTGGGCTCTGTGTAGTGTCATGGCTCCTATCAGAGGGGCTCCAACAGCAGCTCGGGGGACACTCGTGACAGAGGCGCGGGAGCGGCTGAGTTACAAAGGCTGCGAGGGAACGAGAGCTGCTCACCCCCCAGAAACCACGGCTCATGGGAACCCACAGGAGACCACAACACAGACCCACAGACCACTGCTCACAAACGCGTCCCACTCAGAGTGCCAGTGATTCGGAGCTCACACGGGGCTCTGATCACATTTTACTGTCCAAAGGAGATTATTTTCTCTGTTTTCGCTAAATAATATTTACTAGTTTATATTAGAAATGGTAAAATCTAGGAAAACTCAGTTCAATTTTTAAAAAGACTGCTTCCTTCTTAAGAATGGTTTCTAGATGTTTCTACACCACCTTTATAGTTCCAGTTTCTAGTTTCTTTGTAAGGAGTAAATTCAACTTGCAGGTTATATTCCAGGCTAATTGATACATTTCCGGAGTGCCCTTTCGAATCCACGGAATGCCGAACGGGAGCTCACCCGTGTCACAAACGTGGCACGCGCGCTGACTCACTCTGCCTCTTTGCTCTTCTTGGAACCAGCCCCCGTCGAATCTTCTGCCTCAGCCCTCCTTCCATCACGGCCCTCCTCAGAGGCTCTTCCACCACATTCGCGTGCGCGGCTGCGAGCGCCCGGACGGTAGAGCTGCAAGGACGGCCGGTCCTGCCAGGACAGAAGGGCGGGTTACTCTTCCAAGGCCCGTGAGGCAGCAGGAGCAACATCTCTACTTCTAGGGCCTGACGATCCTAACCATCTAAAGAAAATCAGTCTTGCAGCTAAAAATCAGCCTTTTTCACAGCACTATCTCAGAAACCAGGAATTTGAGGTGGGAAAAAAAAGCCACAGAAAGGAAAACAGTTAATATTTAAAATAACTTGAAAGAAAGTAAAACTGGTATCTGGGAAAACGTTATTGCTCAAACCTAGAACACTCTGTGGAAATAGTACAATCATGGCATTCCCTTCCCAACTCGAGAGATGAGAACAAACACACTCGTCTCAGTCCCTCAGACTCACCACCCAGGGCCACGTGACGTCTGAAACACAACAAGGCATGGCCCCCAGAGATGGCTTTTAGAGCTATGAACTAAGCAGTTATTAGCATTTGTAATAAGCAGTCTCCGTGTGGATTATTCCTGAACTGTCCCCTTTATAGAAAATGCCCACCTATCATCTTATTAAACTCTCAGAGGTGGTGGAATAAAAATGATGACTGAATAAAGTACATGAAATGCAATTAAACTGCTTCAGGACACAAGGACTGGGAAGCCAGGGCAGGACAGAGCGGTTCTGAAGGGTGGGACGAGTGACAACAGTGGGAACGAGTCCTCCTCTCGGGGAGCCGTCCAGCTGTGCCGTGGACCCAGCCCTGAAGGAGGGCTGGGCCTCTTGAGGAAGCTCCCTGTCCTGTGGGCAGAGCAGCAGCCTTGGCCTTCCCGCGGCCCCTGGAGCCCAGGGACAGAGTGACTCAGGGGCACATCCCCCTGCTGTGCTTCTCCAGGGCTCACCAGTCACCTTGCCCACTCCTGGGCTGTGGGGCCCCACAGTCAACACCGGAGGTTTCTCAGAATGTTCTTTTCCCTAAGACAAGCCTGGCCAACAAGAGGAGTAGGAAAGGGCTCGGCAGGCCCCAGGGACTTGAATCCCCATGCAGGCAGAGACGCAGGCTTCACACACCACCATCTGCCTGGGGCTAACACACACAGTTCTGCTGCTCACCAGGGTAACTTCCGTGTGTGCAGATGGAGCTCGAAACTGGTCCTAGAAGTACATCCTAACCAGCCGAGCCTCGTAAGGAGGGAGCTGTGAGGCCCAGAGCTCCTTATTACCACCACAGCACTACAGATATAACTGAGGGAAGTTGTTGTCCCGAGTTCCCACACCTAAAGCTGTGCAATACCCAAGCCCCTTGCTGTGGCGAAACAAAAAGGCAGCGAAAACCACTGTCCAAACGAACCACCCTGCCCAAAGACCCCCGTCCCACGTGGTGTGCCTGCAGACGAGGTCACTGCAGAGACCTGTGAGTCTCACACACACACACACACACTGACACGCACTCACACACTCACAGACACACACTCACACACTCACAGACACGCACTCACACACACACAGGATCAGTGAAGAGTGAAGACAAGGAGGCTCTCCTCTTGTCTGGAGGTCCACCTCCCCCTTACTGGAAATGTTTTAAAAATCAACAACATCGCTGATACTTGCAAGGCCCTGGAAAAGTCTGAAGGGAATTACACCGAGTGAGAAAGCCAGTCTCAAAGGTCCACACTGCATGTTTCCATTTCCACAGCATTCCTGAAATGGCGGGATAACAGCGACAGCACAGCGGGGCTGCAGGGTCAGGATGGGTTGGGGGTGGGAGTGACGGGGAGGCCGGGCTGTGGGTGACTGACCAGCACCACAGGGCCCGGCCTTGGAAGGGAGACGGCCCCATTCAGTGCTTCTCTGCAACAATGTGGCCTGAATAAAAACTAACCTCAGACATCTGAAACAAGAGCTGTTTGTGGCTAAGCGGGCCGTCCTACCGTGTACGGCCTGCGCAGACCTGATCAGGTCTAGAATGGGTGTTTACGAGCCCTGTGATTAGGCTAATAATCAGAAAGTTGTCAACAATGTAAAGGAACGCTCCATAAACGTCACTAATATTTTCCTTACTGCCTTAGGGGTAAATTTTGTCAACTTGCCATCACTTATTCTCAAGCAAATGGTGTGCTAATTTTATACTAAATAAAAGCTTTTTGTTTTCCTGGTGAAAAAAAACTTGATTCTCTCAGAAAAGATGATGGCTGGTTCCATTCAGGATTTGACATTCAGGACGTGGTGCTCACTGAGTGGACAAGAGTGAGTTCTAGCAAATACAGACGTTTTGGGGCAGGACGCTCCTAAGATAATGCAGGATCCAGCGGGGTGGCCACTCCCTGTCGGAGTGCGCCACCCTGTACCTCAAGACACCTATGCAGATTTCCCTTTTTTGGTTAAATAAAAGAATTCCTGTTTGGAAAAGCAGTTGTTAGCCTGCAGAAGTACAGTTCGTACTGTCAGCACAGACACGAGTGAAAGATGATCCCAAAGGAATAAGAGAACCTTGTTTCCCACACACTCCTTCCTAGGCGCCGGGCCGCCTGCGCTCTGCTCCGTCACTGGTCTCTCTGCTGCCTCCATAGCAACCCCGCCGTCCTGGCTCCCTTTCTGCCCTCTGTCTGGGGTGAATCCTTTCCCCCATTTTGGCTCTTCTTCATTTTTTCTTGAAATCTTGTCCAACTCATAGTGAGCTCTGTGCTTCCTGCTGTCATCCAAGTGCTGTCTCTGTGTTTCAAGGTCTTTTTCTCGAAATCTTCTCTCCACATCCCTCTGCTCTTTATCACTGTCATTTTGTGACCTGTGATTCAATACAAACCATCAGTGACCCTGTGTAAACCGCTAGTCCATCGCCCGCCTCCCCTTCCAGACCATAAGTTCCAAGAAAGGCAGGGAGTACGTAAGTCTGCTCATCACTTATTGCCAAGTGTGCATGTGACGGGCACACCACAGGCATTCCATAAAAACTACTGAAAAGATGAATAAACGATAGTAATACAATATCTAGTGTTATACTTGAGTGACACATATGTAATAGGCGCTATGCTAAAGTACCATATATACATATTTTTCTAACTTTTAGTAATCCTCCAAAGTAAATATAATCCTCCTTCTAATACAGATAAAGTAAATGAGACTAGAAGTGGTTGAGTGACTTTCCTAGAAGCCCACATCCATTGTGACACAGAGCTGACACTGAGAGCTTAGTTTCTGCTCCAAGCATAGCTAAACTTAACTGAAATTTAGTAATATTTGTGCATATATCCAACTGTCAAATGAACAGTAAATACACAGGTGGCTGCTTAGCTCATCTTGTTCTTTTTTTTTTAAAGATTTTATTTATTTAATTTTTTCCCCCCAAAGCCCCAGCAGACAGCTGTATGTCATAGCTGCACATCCCTCTAGTTGCTGTATGTGGGACTCGGCCTCAGGATGGACGGAGAAGTGGTGCCTCTATGCGCACCCGGGATCCGAACCCGGGCCACCAGCATTGCAGTGCGCGCACTTAACCACCAAGCCACAGGGCCGGCCCTGCTCATCTTGTTCTTAAGTCTTCCTCTCCACGAAAGATAGGCAGACGTCCCCAACCACGGCCTGTGGCCCCCACATACAGAAACAGCAGGACTACTGGGGACAAAGAGATCTACGAACAAAGTGTGAATTCATGCCAGAAACACGACAAAAGGCACTGCTGTATCATAAGCAATAATAATACAAACGCCTGTAACACAGACCACAGTGCTAAAAGATCATAGTTTTGATAAGCATGTATAAATTCACTTTATAAACAAATCAATAAACCAGAACCCCCCAAAAGAAGGAAAAAAACCTTTATCACAACTCTATGTGCAAGAAAGACAGTAATAAGTCATTCAGATTACTGTGATTCAGGGAAAATGGCAGCCTAATCTCATGACCTTGCTGTCTCCCCTCCCAACTCAGATCCACTTCCAGGCACCCTTGGAAGCAGCACAGCCCTGGGCTCCAGGAAGCTCTGCAGGTGTCCAGATGCAGCACACAGGCAGAAGCCCTGGGGTAGGGGACAAGAAGCCCAGCTGCACGTGGCCCCACTGACTGTGGGGAGGTGACCAAACCCCGAGGACGCAGGGGCAGGGGCAGGAGGAAGGGGCTCCCCCTGACAAGCGTCTGGCTGCGCTCTCTCTGGCCCGTGTGCAGGGACTGCTGTGTCTGTCCTGTCTCCCGAGAAGCCCTCTCAAGCTCCCTTCGTAAGATGCAAGTCATGAGCAGGCAAAGAACTGCATGCCTAAGGGTCCCCAGCCGGAGAGAGGCAGGGCTAGTGGACACCACGATCCACTGCCGCTAGTCGAATCCCACAGTGGACCACAGGGATGACAACTCCACAAGGAATCGCAGCACTTAGAATTCCCCTTCTACATCACAAAAGACTTCCCAGCACCTACAAGACTGGGTTCTCAAATTTACAATTCCGCAGATAAATTGAAGGAGGTCTGGAAGATCAAGTGAGCAAGATATCTCAAAACAGAGGAAAATTACAAACTGATAAAACTGACAAAGGAAAAGAGCCTGGGAAGAAGGTCCGTATCTGCAGTAACAGCACTCCAAGGGGAGAGGAGAGAGAGCGACAGTTAAGAGAGGCTCAGGAGGACATCTCCCTGGTTTGACGACTGCAGACCAAACGGGTTTACCGAGTTCCTCGCACAACCAAGGAGAAACAAAGATGCGGACAAGCACATCCTGGTGAAATTCTTGAATTCCAAGAATATTATGAAATATAAGCACTTGCATTGACACAGGTGACTGTGACCCAATGACCTCGTGATGCCCCACGTGGTGGAAGGGATGGGAGCACGGGCTCACCTTTCCCGGAGCTCCTCCCGAGAGCTCTCCGGGGGCCTGGGCCTCACGACTGCGCAGCGGGGACAGGGCTCCCACCTTCCATCTCCAGCATCAACTTCCTCTCCTCTTTCTTTTGGTTTCTCAGGGGTTGGTTCCTCTCCCTTTTCTGGTTTCTTAAGCAGCTGAGAAATTATAATGTCAGTAAAATGTCACTTTAAAAGAAGTTGTTTAATAAATAATTAAAAATATCCACCAATATTGAGCCCAGATGTTTGAATAGCAGAAAATGTAAGCTAAAGGTCCAATGAACAGGTTTTGGTTAAATACACAGGGGAACATTCAGTCAAGGAAATAAGTTGTAGTTAGGAAAAACAATTTAGGACAGTCAATGTGATGGAAAGATGCTCATATTAATGAATAAAAGAATGTTACAAAACAGAATGATCTGATTTCTATCAGATACACACATATAGAAAAATGTCTAAAAGCTTGCAATACTGTGTTAACAGTGATTATTTTTAGGTGGCAGAACTGAAATGATTTCCTTTTCTTTCATCTACAGGTTCTAGTTTTTCTAAAATGAAAAAGTATTACTTTTGTAATAAGGAAAAAAATATTTTTTAACAGGTTGCTTTATGTTGATGACTTTTAGAATGTTTAAAGTTTTCAAAACACTTATTATTCTCTTTCTTGAAACAGACGTAGCAGGTTGTTATGAGGCATTTAACTGGTATACCTTTGGAGCTGGGCCTTCCTCCCCGTTCTCACTCTTCAAAACTGAAGTACCACAGGGAGAGTCAACTTGTACAACATAAATGGAAGGTCTACCTCTGAGAATTTTGTTCTCACTTAAATAAGTGAACATTTTTTAAATTGCAGTATAGTGGGGCCGGCCCCGTGGCTTAGCGGCGGAGTGCTCGCGCTCCGCTACTGGCGGCCCGGGTTCGGATCCCGGGCGCGCACCGACGCACCGCTTCTCCAGCCATGCTGAGGCTGCGTCCCACACACAGCAACTAGAAGGATGTGCAGCTATGACATACAACTATCTACTGGGGCTTTGGGGGAAAAAAAAAAGGAGGATTGGCAATAGATGTTAGCTCAGGGCCGGTCTTCCTCAGCAAAAAAAGGAGGATTAGCATGGATGTTAGCTCAGGGCTGATCTTCCTCACAAAAAAATAAATAAATAAAAAATAAATTACAGTATAGCAAAATTATACACACATACATTTCGACTAAATGAGTTCATTTCAGAAGGACACAGATGTAATGGACGGCAGAACCCTTTATAAAGGCTGCTTCTCATCAAAGGTGTGCACTGTGCACCTGTGTATACACTCTTATTCTGCCTACCTGGGGTCTGTGGGTTTAAACATTTCCTTTCAGATAACTATTGAACTTTTTTTTATTACAAAAGTAATATCTGCTTGTAATAAATGCAAGCCACAGGAAGTGCGACAGTATGTGTCTCTACCCATCCACCCAACAAACAACTGTATGCACCTACGAACTGTTTTTACTCACAATACCTCTGAAACCAAACGTGTGGAGTCTGTTCCAACACCACTTCTCCACTCTCCAACACAGGCTGGGTGTCCTGTGATTCAATTCAGTTCTGACTCCATCTACCTGGAATTAACGTCAGATCCCACAAGACTGTCGCCACTTCAAATGCCAGTCCAAAGTCCCAATTTGTCACTGGTACTTCTGACCAACTGGCTATAAATTCAGGGGGTTCTTGAATGAGAATGACTGATGGACTCAGGAAAGTGCTTTGTTACAAAGGATACAGCTCAGGAACAGCCAGAGGGAAGAGATGCACAGGGCCAGGTACAGGGAGCCATTCGGAGCTTCTAAGCCCTCTCCAGGGGCGTGACCTTCCTGGCACCTTGATGTGTTCACCAGCTCTGCAAACTCCATACTTTAGGGACTTTTATGGAGGCTCCGTTGCATAGGCACAACTGATTAAATCACTGGCCACTGGTGACTAAACCCAATCTCCAGCCCTCTCCCCTCCCCAGAGGTCAGTGTGGGGCTGAAAGTTCCAACCCTCTAAGATGCCCTGGTCTTTCTGGTGGCCAGCTCCCATCCTGAAGCCATCCAGGGCCTCAGCCACCCGTCACCTCATTAGCACACAGAAGACACTCTTATCACTCCAGAGACTGCGATGGTTTTAGGAGCTGTGTACCAGGAACCCGGGGAAAAGACCCAGTGCTAGGTGTTTGGAATATAGTTGTGGATAAGACACAAGCGCCCACAATGAAGGAACACACACTTGACATTCTCACCGAGGCAGTGGTGGCCATGGGGGTGGGAGAATGGTGTACACAGTCACAAAAATAGAGAAAAGTGAACAAGATAACCGCAGGTGGTATGAAATGCTGCAAACACATAATAAAACAGGATAAAAGGACAGAGAGATGCGAGGTGAGGGGAACAGGAGGAATGGTTTCTCGAGGGGGTTAGGGAAGGCCTCTCTGTGGAGACAAGATGTGAACAGAGACCAGATGATGAGAAGGAGCTCTTAGGAGAAGGCGTACGTCTCGGGGAAAAGCTCCCTGTGGAGGGAGGCAAGCAAGGGCCCGAGGTGGTCAGCCTGGCAGAGGGAGGCAAGGAGGCTGGACAAGCCAGGGGCACATGACACGGGAGGAGGGGACGCAGGCTCCCGACCAGCCCTCTACGCTCCTTCTACGTGCATGTAACCTGGTCTCACACGCACATCTGTTTTTAAAGAGCTTCGTGAAAAAGACCACACAACTTTTTTGGATAATGTAATCTACAGCCTACAATTTACATATTCAGGAATTTTATTTGTAACTTTGGTAACCTAACTTCCTACTTCAACTTCAGCTCATTGCTTAGTTTTAGAGTCCTCAGAGGAAAATAAAAAACAGCTGGGTTGCTCTCCTTGTATCATATTTCTCTTTATTGTCAAAAATAGACATAAGGACATCTCTCTGCCTCTCTATTTTTAGGCTACTAATACAAATTCTTTTGGCATTTCTTCACAGATTTTATTTTCCAGTTTTTTTAAATTTAATTCTCCAAATGATTCATGAGTCAGAGATCCCAAATGGAGCAGAGATGCTTATTACAGGCTAACTCGGGATGGGGTGTGTCCTGTCAGTCAGAACCCCAGACACTCTGAGTCACGCAGGCCACTGGGTCTAAGCTGCCACCGGGATCCTGTTTACCGGATTTGGACAAGACTAACCCTTTCACTTGCTGTGTTAATGTTTTGAGTTCTTTTTTTCTATACGAAGGATCCTACCTTTTTAAAAAGGATTTACTTTTACAGACTTAAATTTGTTTTTATTTCTTTGGCTTATTTTGGATTCTAATTCCATACTCAACGTAAAAATAAAATGCTGTACTCCACATACTTTGTCTTACTTAAAATTATAGTTGAAATTGTAGGCTACGAGTTTCATCATTCATCATCAAACTTTCTACTCTATCTTCCCCCAAGTCCTGACCCTTCCTTTTTTTTCTTTATATTACACAATTTTAATGAATCACTATAGGGCACCTTAAACCCTTTGTGGAGTGAGGGAAGATGCACATTAGGTTGAAATCTAGGGTTAATAAGGTCATCTGAGCAGAATACTAAGAAGGTAAGGGCTGACTCCAATTTGGGGCAATACATTTTTATACAGAGAAAAACTCCGTGTGCCTTAAACCACCCTCCTAAATGAAGGCGTCAGTCAAAGGAGAAACTAGGCAAGAGATGTAGAAACTGTTGCTGCAACCACAAAAGAAATGATAAACCCAGTTCTGTGAGTCAGCTTCACATAGAAAGGCTGGCATACACTGGGCCAATGGTTTTCAAATGTGTGTTTGTAGGTCAGGAAATTTTTTTTTTTTTGGTGAGGAGATTAGCCCTGAGCTAACATCCATTGCCAATCCTCCTCTTTTTGCTGAGGAAGATTGGCCCTGGGCTAACATCCATGCTCGTCTTCCTCTACTTTACATGGGATGCCGCCACAGCATGGCTTGAGAAGCGGTGCATCGGTGCGCGCCCAGGATCTGAACATGCGAACCCCCAGCCGCCGCAGCAGAGCACGCGCACTTAACCGCTACGCCACTGGGCCAGCCCAGGAAATCTTTTCTTTAAAGGAAAATGTAAGCAGAAGCCCAATCTATGACATTCAAATGTGGGGCTCCTCCAAGAGAAGGGCTCGCGGCACACGCAGGAGGCTGGTCCCCCTCCACCCTTCCATGCGGCCCTCCCAACACAGCATGCCCAGGGAACCGCTAGGGCTCAGGGAACACAGTTTGAGAACTACTGCTGTAGAACAGAGAGAAGGAATTATAATAATAAAAGACTCAACTAATGAAATGTTCCTGCAATTCTGAACAGTTGAAATACCTAAAGGTATGATTAGTACAGCAGAACTATTTTCGGAAAAAAAGAACACGTCTCCTCGAAATTACCTTAATCCTCACTTCTCTCTCAGCCATTCTCTCTTGCTTGTCTGCTTCTTTTCTCTTACATCTTTCCTCCTCTCTTCTTTTCCTTTTCTCTTCTTCCCGTAGGCGTTTCTTTTCCAACTCCCTTCTCCTTCGTTCTTCTCGCTTCTCTTCTCGAATTCTCTAGAGATGTGGGAAGGTATGTGTATAAACCGTCTGCGTGGACACAGCACAGACAGGAAGGACATTCACCAGGGAAAGGCTGGACCTACCTGCTTTTCTAACTTTCTATTTTTAATATATTCCAAAAGAGGTGTGGTTCTTCTAGCTAAAACACAAAAATTGTAAGGTAGCATTTAACTCTAAAATAAGATTTCTTTCCTTTATCTTAAATATTTGTTTTAAATTTAATCTTTAAAATTATTAGGGGAAGAATTTTATCATTTTAAAATTTGCATGAGCATATACTGTGTTTGCGGGAGTTCTTATTCCATCACTATAAAGTCAAGCAATCTGGAGGCACTGACAATCTTATACACAGTAGGCGTTCAATTCCTGATTCCTGAGGGCATCATAAATTACTCACAAAGATGGCATAAAAGAAAAAAAGCAAAATGAGTGCAATGGGCCGGCCCCATGGCTTAGCGGTTAAGTGCACGCGCTCCGCTGCTGGCGGCCCGGGGTTCGGATCCCGGGCACGCACTGACGCACCGCTTCTCCGGCCATGCTGAGGCCGCGTCCCACATACAGCAACTAGAAGGCTGTGCAACTACGACATACAACTATCTACTGGTGCTTTGGGGGAAAATAAATAAAAATTTAAAAAAAAAAAAATGAGTGCAATGCATTAAACTTCCCAGATGTTATAAATATCTTCACATTTCTGCAGATATTTTAAATCATTACATATTTATATATTCACTTTGATTCAACATATATTCTGGGAACAGTTTTAAGCAATGTAGATTCTTGTAATTATAACATACACTCCATAAATCAGAATAACCAGACATAAAAGTTTAAAAATGACTCTGTATGGCACTGTTGATCGAAAAAGCACCAACTACCCACGACTGAGTGTCTCCACCAACTCTACTTCAATCCCCAACTTTCACGCCCCCGCCCCATCTGACCTGACTGGGACTCAGGGAGCCCACATAAGAGGCAGGCCACCAGCTCTGAGAGGTTTGTGTTCCCCACGGCAGCAGCTGAGGATGTAGGTGGGAAGGTGGAAGATGGTTTGGGTCTCCTCTACAGGTCTTCAAGACCTCAGATTAAACGAGGGAAGGAAGAATCCCTGGATGCACTTGAAGACATGACATTTCCAGAATTCCGAGGATCAGGAATTAATCAGGAATCATAAGAGAGCCCCTGGCCAGGGCTTCCTAATGTGGAACTGAGGACCCCTGAACTCCTTGCCATCATATATCAAATGATGTCTGCCAGGGAGCTCGGTCCCAGGTTCACGGCCGTGGTGAAGAGCTGACGCAGTGCAGATGCCCATGTTTCGTCACTGGCACAGAGACCAAGAAGTGCCTGCCCCCTCCTTGGGTGGCTCCTGTGTTAACCACGAACTCTGGCTCACGATGAGCACAGCCCATGCCATTTCTAACAGGCAAGTCACCCCAAATTAGTGAGGACTCTGCTCTGCACCATGGAAGTTCTGGATTTGTCAGCCAAGGTGGGTGGGGGAGCTGACACCGAGACACCGTCTGCCTTCCTCCCTCTCCTACAAAACACCTGCCTTGTTACCCCAAAGGACCCATGTGAAGAGAAGATGAGACCCTGTAACAGAAAGTGCTTTACAAACCATAAAAGTGTATAACTCAGTAAACAGAGGATGCATACTCATTTAACCAACAGTACACTTATTACCACTCACAGAGAGCTGGCACCCAGGCACTGGGACGACACCCTGTGAGCACAGGGAGGCTAAGGCTCAGGAGGCAGTGACTGCCCAGTCCTGAGCTGGGGCCTGAGCCCAGGTCTGTCTTGCGCTCTATAGACCCTGACATGCCACTGCACCAACCTCAACTTCAGAGTGAATTAGTATTTCCATTTAACCACACTGCTTAGACTTGATCATAAGAATACACTGAAGGCAAAAATCTAAGAAAACAAAAAGGCAATTTGCCACGAATTCAAGGTTCAAATTTAAATGGGCAGCAACAGGAATCACAGAAACGAAGCTCCATCACCTCGTCCTGGGCTGGTGGCCTCTCAGTCACAGCAATTTGTTCGGTAAATAATCACGATGCATCTACTGGGCACCAGGCACTGGGCAAGGACAGGACTTGTCCCTCCTGCAGGAGGGCAGCTGTGTGTGTCTGACCACCAAGGGGAGGTAAAACAGACCCTGCCCCTCCCTGTAGCTTCCCTGTACAGGGGCATTTAGAACAAAGTGCACGAGAAATGGGAGGGGCAGGAAGGCGAGTTCTGTACATAATTTCTATTTTGCTTCTTCTTTTAGCTCTTCTTAAATTTAACATATTCTAGTGAAATCTCAATTTGCCCCGGTATTGTTTCTCTCTCCCAGTATTGTTACTCTTCCCCAGTCAATAACGGTCCTACAGCCCACGGATCTGCTCATGTCAAACTCCTGAAGCCTTGATTCTTTCCGCTTCCTTCCCTCCCACACCCAGTCGTCAGTTAGTCCTGCCAGTCCTACCTCCAGAACAGACGCTGACTCTGCCAGCCTCGTTCAAGCAGCCTTCCCTGGACTACATCACAAGCCTCCCTAATCAGAGGCCCAGCTTCTCCTGGCATCCACAGTCCATCAAGTATGGAGCAACCAGAGTGATGGGGAAAAATAAATCAGACTGTATCACTCCCTCCATTGTTTCCAGGTGTCCCTCAAATAAAATCCAAACCTCTTACCACCAGCCCGACGTGATGTGCCCACCTGCCTCTCCAGCCACTCTGCCCCTTGCCCACCATGTGCCGACCACACAGGCCCAGAACTCCAGCCTCCAGCTCCTGCGTTGGCGTTCCCTCTTCTACCTCTTAGCACAGCTGGTCTCAGCTCAAATACGGTCTCAGAGGGGACTCTCTCTCTATCCCATTCTTCTATGTCACTACATTTGTGGCACTTGTCACAAACAGAAATGCTTGGCCTTGAAGCTTGATTATTTCTGTGTGTGTTTACTACAGTCAATCCCACCAGAAGGGCAGCTACACGAGGGCAGAGGCCTCGTGCATCCTGTTCCTGTTCCTGTTCTGTCCCATGCCGAGGCTCAGAGTTGGTACGCAGTCAACATGTGCTGAATAAAAATGAGAAAATGCATCCTAAGCACATCTGAAATATTTACCATAGTGATTAAAAATCCTTCAAGCCACACGTTGTCAGCTGTTATAAAGTATAAAACTTCATTATTAGACTAATGAAGAAAATTTCAATAATGTTAACCTTTCTTATTCATTTTCTCAACAAACATTTACTGAACACCTAAACTCGTCCCAGCAACGTGCTCCGCACTGGGACTACAAAGAGGAACAGACAGTTCTGTTGGGGGCAGGGAGACAAAATGAGAAGAGCATTTACGTGAGGGAGATGGACAAACAAGGAGATGAATTATCCAGTGCATTCGTCCTGTCCTGCAGGACACAGCCGTGGGGCGCACTGGGCCTGAAGGGGAAGCAGCGCACAGGGCAGAGGCAGACAGGAAGGGAGGCACTACGGGTACGTCTGGGAGCTGCAGCAGAGTGCCTGGAGACAGAAAAAGGTGTTGCATGTCTACTCTTGAGTTTTAGGGACTGCAACCAGGAGATAACCATTTCTAAGACATACTGCCTGCAGGGTAGGCTTGAAGGCCTGATTCATACCAGATTCTGTGCTCTGGCTGGCTGTATCCACTCGGTTGCTTGGCTTGCTCAGGGGACTTAATATTGTTTTAAACAGCAGCAAGATGACCTCATAGTTAAGCAAAGCCTTTTTCTGCTGTGACTGCTCTCGGCAAAGACGACTGACTTCAACTTTGAGAATAACACTCCCTCCCTAATGCAGCCAGGCACAGAGCACTCATGTCTTCTCTACTGCTCACTCGGAAGCATCATAACTTTGAAACAAAATGACCACAACAAGAACTCAAGTGCTCTCCACCAACAGATGCTCAGAAATAGGCCCCCAAGCTGCCATCTTGCCGTCCTTTTATCAAAACTGGGAAATACTCTACGTTTCTGCCAAGCCTGTCACAAGTGTCAATTTTTTATAATAATCATGAAAAAGAGGAAATACATACTCTATAAATACATATCTCAATACAGTAAAGAGAAGAAACGAGTGAAACAGACCAATAAGCTCTCTTGTCTTTGCCTCTATGTCCCCTAGAAGAGTCTCAGGATTAGCACTGGTTTTCTCTTCCTCCACACAGTAAGTTTCTAAAAACTTCTTATATTCTGGATCTGTAAATTTAAAAAGAAAATAAATATACTCCTCCCCACAAACGGGAAAGATACGATATTTGATCAGAGTATTTAATGCGGTGGTTTCACAATCCAGCATCTGAAAAAGGACTCACCATCTTCAATGCTTCCAGTTTTGGCATCTTTTTTCTTTAGCTTGTTTTTGGCGATCTTCTGGAATGGAGCAAACTCTACCACTGCAGGATATTCTAGGCCTTTAACAGGAAACAAATTCCAAGAACAATTCTGAAATTCTACCGTATTCATTTCAAAAATAATGATCTAGCTTAATTAAGGACTAAGCATAACAATGATAATGTTACTATTTAAACTATAATTTAACTATATTTCCAAGCAAGTGCAACCTTAGCATGTCAAACTCCAAATTTAAACAAAGGGTGAGCAATTATTTATTACATAAAACAATTCTTCATGTTGTAGTGGTGGTTACATGACTGAATACATTCAAAATTCATCAAACTGTGTACCTTAAAATGGTGAATTTTAGCATATGTAACTTATACCACAATAAACCTGATCTTCCCCCACCAAAGAGTTTATCATGGAATACATTTAAGTAGGTTTCTTTGTCACATTTAAAATTTTTTAATTTTAAAAGGTTAATTCAACTATCAATCTATTATATGAGATCTAGGAAATTACTCTGCTTAGAAGAGACACTTGGCTAAAAGAGGGGGCTTCAAAGGGTGGAGATAATATTCAGGTAAGATTCGCTTCAAATAGAAAAGTTCAGAATGAAAGTCACTAGAAACTGATTTTGCTGTTATGTGGGAGGGAGACAAACACACCCAGAAATGTCCACTACGAGAATCTGCTAATGTTTAACCAACAAACAGGACACTTTTACCACAGACTAAACCCAAGTAGTCACTTAGACTTGTCAGGAATGGTCAGGTGACTATGATAAGTGTAACTCTCATTTATCTGGAGAACATTTTTGTGCTAACCTCAACTATCCAGAATAAAGTCAAGAAACGGTAGGCGAGCAGGGCTCTGGATAGGCAGGGACAATGTCCAATTCACTGCTGCATCCATAATGCCTGGTACATAGTAGATACTTATTAAATAGCAGTAGACACACTTCTTAATTTCAAAATTATTACAACGCTACAGAAATCAAAACAGCATAAAGTTTTCAAATCCTATGGCATAAAGACAGACATATAGACCAAAAGACTAGAATAGAGAGCCCAGAAACAAACCCTCACATATACGATCAAATGGTTTGTGGTAAGGGTGCCAAGACCATTCAATGGAGAAAGGACAGTCTTTTTAACAAATGATGCTGAGAAAATGGATATCCACACGCAAAAGAATGAAGTTGGACCCTTACCTAACACCATATACAAAAATTAACTCAAAATGGATCAGAGACCTAAACTTGAGACCTAAAACTATAAAACTCTTAGAAGAAAGCCTGGAGGAAAAGCTTGACATTGGATTTGGCAATTATTACTTGGATATGACACCAAAAGCACAGGCAACTAAAGTAAAAATAGATATACTGGATGACATTAAATTAAAAACATTTGTGTATCAAAGGACACATCAACAGAATGTAAAGGCAATCTACAAAATGGGAGAAAATCATACATCTGATAAGGGGTTAATATCCATAATATATAAGGAAATTCTACAACTCAATGGTAACAAACAACTCAATTAAAAACAGGCAAAGAACTTGAATAGACATATCTAAAGAAGACATATGAATGGCCAACAAGCACATGAAAAGATGCTCAACATTAATAATCATTAGAGAAATGCAAATCAAAACCACAATGAGATACCACCTCACAGGCATTAGGATGTCTGCTATCAAAAAACAGAAAACAACAAGTGTTGGTGAAGATGTGGAGAAATTGGAACGCTTGTTTACTATTGGGAATATAAAATAGTGCAGCCTTTATGGAAAACAGTATGGCAGTTCCTCAAAAAATAAAAAATATAACTACTATATGATCTAACAATCCCACTAGGGTATATATCCAAAAGAATTGAAAGCACGTTCTCAAAGAGATATTTGTACACCCACGTTCACAGCAGCACTATTCACAATAGCAAAGAGCCAGAAGCAACCCAAGTGTCCATTAATAAACAAATGGATAAACAAATGTGGTATACACACACAACAGAATATTATCCAGCTTTAAAAAGGAAGGAAATCCTGTCACATGCTACAACACAGGTGAACCCTGAGGTCATCACGCTAAGTGAAATAAGCCAATCACAAAAAGACAAATCCTGAATGATTCCACTCATATGAGTTATCTAGAGTTTTCAAATTCATAGAGACAGGAAGGGGAAGTGTGGGTGCCAGGGGCTGGGGGAGGGAGGAACGGGGAGTTGCTGTGTAATGGGTACAGAGTTTCAGTTTTGTAAGATGAAAAGAGATCTGGAGATTGGTTGCATGACAATGTAAATATACTTAACACTACTGAACTATACACTTAAAAAAGAATAAGACGGTAAATTTAGGTTATGTATATTTTATCACAATTTTTAAAAAGTAAAGGAAAAAAGGCACTTGAATAAATTACTCAGAAAACAAGTATCCAACACAAATGTCAAATAGTTCAAGATGAAACTTGCCTTTACTCACAGGAAAAATCTCTTGGCTTCAGTCTAGTCACTCTTTAACCATCTTTTCTAGTTTGTTACCCCTCAGTGGAGGAGAAGAAAACACTGAGTCTTGTGGGTGGGTAGAGTGGGAAGAGGTTGGTTGGTGAGGGGTGCATAGAAAACAACACGCTGTCGAGGTGTACACACTCGAGGGCCGTGAACACAATGTCCGCAGAAAACAACACGCTGTCGAGGTGTACACACTCGATGGCCGTGAACACAATGTCCGTAGAAAACAACACGCTGTC